CCAGAGAGAGACTAGAGAGAGACCAGATAGAGACCAGAGAGAGACCAGAGAGACCAGAGAGAGACCAGAGAGAGACCAGAGAGACCAGAGAGACCAGAGAGAGACCAGAGAGAGACTAGAGAGAGACCAGAGAGAGACCAGAGAGAGACCAGAGAGACCAGAGAGACCAGAGAGAGACCAGAGAGAGACCAGAGAGAGACCAGAGAGACCAGAGAGAGACCAGAGAGAGACCAGAGAGAGACCAGAGAGAGACCAGAGAGACCAGAGAGACCAGAGAGACTAGAGAGAGACCAGAGAGAGACCAGAGAGACCAGAGAGACCAGAGAGAGACCAGAGAGAGACTAGAGAGAGACCAGAGAGAGACCAGAGAGAGACCAGAGAGACCAGAGAGACCAGAGAGAGACTAGAGAGAGACCAGAGAGAGACCAGAGAGACCAGAGAGACCAGAGAGAGACCAGAGAGAGACTAGAGAGAGACCAGAGAGAGACCAGAGAGACCAGAGAGACTAGAGAGAGACTAGAGAGAGAGACTAGAGAGAGACCAGAGAGAGACCAGAGAGAGACTAGAGAGAGACCAGAGAGAGACCAGAGAGAGACTAGAGAGAGACCAGAGAGAGACTAGAGAGAGACCAGAGAGAGACTAGAGAGAGACCAGAGAGAGACCAGAGAGACCAGAGAGACCAGAGAGAGACCAGAGAGACTAGAGAGAGACCAGAGAGAGACCAGAGAGACCAGAGAGACTAGAGAGAGACCAGAGAGAGACCAGAGAGACCAGAGAGAGACTAGAGAGAGACCAGAGAGACCAGAGAGAGACCAGAGAGAGACTAGAGAGAGACTAGAGAGAGACTAGAGAGACCAGAGAGAGACCAGAGAGAGACTAGAGAGAGACCAGAGAGACTAGAGAGAGACCAGAGAGAGACCAGAGAGACCAGAGAGACCAGAGAGAGACCAGAGAGACTAGAGAGAGACCAGAGAGAGACCAGAGAGACCAGAGAGACTAGAGAGAGACCAGAGAGAGACCAGAGAGACCAGAGAGAGACTAGAGAGAGACCAGAGAGACCAGAGAGAGACCAGAGAGAGACTAGAGAGAGACTAGAGAGAGACTAGAGAGACCAGAGAGAGACCAGAGAGAGACTAGAGAGAGACTAGAGAGAGACCAGAGAGAGACTAGAGAGAGACCAGAGAGAGACCAGAGAGAGACCAGAGAGACCAGAGAGACTAGAGAGAGACCAGAGAGACCAGAGAGAGACCAGAGAGAGACTAGAGAGAGACCAGAGAGAGACCTGAGAGAGACCAGAGAGAGAGACCAGAGAGACCAGAGAGAGACTAGAGAGAGACCAGAGAGAGACCAGAGAGAGACCAGAGAGACCAGAGAGACTAGAGAGAGACCAGAGAGACCGGAGAGAGACCAGAGAGAGACTAGAGAGAGACCAGAGAGAGACTAGAGAGAGACTAGAGAGAGACTAGAGAGACCAGAGAGAGACCAGAGAGAGACCAGAGAGAGACTAGAGAGAGAGACTAGAGAGAGACCAGAGAGAGACCAGAGAGAGACCAGAGAGAGACCAGAGAGACCAGAGAGACTAGAGAGAGACCAGAGAGACCAGAGAGAGACCAGAGAGAGACTAGAGAGAGACCAGAGAGAGACCTGAGAGAGACCAGAGAGAGACCAGAGAGAGACTAGAGAGAGACTAGAGAGACCAGAGAGAGACCAGAGAGAGACTAGAGAGAGACCAGAGAGAGACCAGAGAGAGACTAGAGAGAGACCAGAGAGAGACCAGAGAGAGACCAGAGAGACCAGAGAGACTAGAGAGAGACCAGAGAGACCAGAGAGACCAGAGAGAGACCAGAGAGAGACCAGAGAGAGACCAGAGAGAGACTAGAGAGAGACTAGAGAGAGACCAGAGAGAGACTAGAGAGAGAGACTAGAGAGAGACCAGAGAGAGACCAGAGAGAGACTAGAGAGAGACCAGAGAGAGACCAGAGAGAGACCAGAGAGACCAGAGAGACTAGAGAGAGACCAGAGAGACCAGAGAGAGACCAGAGAGAGACTAGAGAGAGACCAGAGAGAGACCAGAGAGAGACTAGAGAGAGACTAGAGAGACCAGAGAGAGACCAGAGAGAGACCAGAGAGAGACCAGAGAGAGACCAGAGAGACCAGAGAGACTAGAGAGAGACCAGAGAGACCAGAGAGAGACCAGAGAGAGACTAGAGAGAGACCAGAGAGAGACCAGAGAGAGACTAGAGAGATACTAGAGAGACCAGAGAGAGACCAGAGAGAGACTAGAGAGAGACCAGAGAGAGACCAGAGAGAGACTAGAGAGAGACCAGAGAACACCAGGGAGAGAGAACCAGAGAGAGAGAGAGACTAGAGAAACACCAGGGAGAGACCAGAGAGAGAGAGAGAGACTAGAGAAACACCAGGGAGAGACCAGAGAGAGAGAGACTAGAGAAACACCAGGGAGAGACCAGAGACAGAGAGACACGAGAAACACCAGGGAGAGACCAGAGAGAGAGAGACACGAGAAACACCAGGGAGAGACCAGAGAGAGAGAGACTAGAGAAACACCAGGGAGAGACCAGAGAGAGAGAGACACGAGAAACACCAGGGAGAGACCAGAGAGAGAGAGACTAGAGAAACACCAGGGAGAGACCAGAGAGAGAGAGACTAGAGAAACACGAGAGAGAGAGACATGAGAAACACCAGGGAGAGACCAGAGAGAGAGAGACTAGAGAAACACCAGGGAGAGACCAGAGAGAGAGAGACTAGAGAAACACCAGGGAGAGACCAGAGAGAGAGAGACACGAGAAACACCAGGGAGAGACCAGAGAGAGAGAGACACGAGAAACACCAGGGAGACACCAGAGAAAGAGAGACTAGAGAAACACCAGGGAGAGACCAGAGAAAGAGAGAGAGACTAGAGAAACACCAGGGAGAGACCAGAGAGAGAGAGACTAGAGAAACACCAGGGAGAGACCAGAGAGAGAGAGAGACTAGAGAAACACCAGGGAGAGACCAGAGAGAGAGAGAGACTAGAGAAACACCAGGGAGAGACCAGAGAGAGAGAGACACGAGAAACACCAGGGAGAGACCAGAGAGAGAGAGAGACTAGAGAAACACCAGGGAGAGACCAGAGAGAGAGAGACACGAGAGAGACCAGGGAGAGACCAGAGAGAGAGAGACACGAGAAACACCAGGGAGAGACCAGAGAGAGAGAGACACGAGAAACACCAGGGAGAGACCAGAGAGAGAGAGACTAGAGAAACACCAGGGAGAGACCAGAGAAAGAGAGAGAGACTAGAGAAACACCAGGGAGAGACCAGAGAGAGAGAGACTAGAGAAACACCAGGGAGAGACCAGAGAGAGAGAGACTAGAGAAACACCAGGGAGAGACCAGAGAAAGAGAGAGAGACTAGAGAAACACCAGGGAGAGACCAGAGAGAGAGAGACTAGAGAAACACCAGGGAGAGACCAGAGAGAGAGAGACACGAGAAACACCAGGGAGAGACCAGAGAGAGAGAGACACGAGAAACACCAGGGAGAGACCAGAGAGAGAGAGAGACACGAGAAACACCAGGGAGAGACCAGAGAGAGAGAGAGACTAGAGAAACACCAGGGAGAGACCAGAGAGAGAGAGACTAGAGAAACACCAGGGAGAGACCAGAGAGAGAGAGACACGAGAAACACCAGGGAGAGACCAGAAAGAGAGAGACACGAGAAACACCAGGGAGAGACCAGAGAGAGAGAGACTAGAGAAACACCAGGGAGAGACCAGAGAGAGAGAGACACGAGAAACACCAGGGAGAGACCAGAAAGAGAGAGACACGAGAAACACCAGGGAGAGACCAGAGAGAGAGAGACACGAGAAACACCAGGGAGAGACCAGAGAGAGAGAGACACGAGAAACACCAGGGAGAGACCAGAGAGAGAGAGACACGAGAAACACCAGGGAGAGACCAGAGAGAGAGAGACACGAGAAACACCAGGGAGAGACCAGAGAGAGAGAGACTAGAGAAACACCAGGGAGAGACCAGAGACAGAGAGACTAGAGAAACACCAGAGAAAGAGCAGAGAAAGAGCTGAGAGAGCAGAGAGAGAAAGACCAAAAAGAGAGCAGAGAGAGAGACCAGAGAGAAACACAAGGGAGGGAGAGCAAAGAGAGGGCAAAGAGGGACCAGGGAGAGACCAGAGGGAGACCAGAGAGAGACTACAGAAAGAAACCAGATGGAGACCAGAGAGCGAGACCAGAGAGCGAGACCAGAGAGCGAGACCAGAGAGCGAGACCAGAGAGCGAGACCAGAGAGCGAGACCAGAGAGCGAGACCAGAGGGAGACTACAGAAAGAAACCAGATGGAGACCAGAGAGCGAGACCAGAGAGCGAGACCAGAGAGCGAGACCCGGCAGCGAGACCAGAGAGCGAGACCAGAGAGCAAGACCAGAGAGCGAGACCAGAGAGCGAGACCAGAGAGCGAGACCCGAGAGCAAGACCAGAGAGCAAGACCAGAGAGCGAGACCCGACAGCGAGACCAGAGAGCGAGACCAGAGAGCGAGACCAGAGAGCGAGATCAGAGAGCGAGACCAGAGAGCGAGACCAGAGAGAGACCAGAGAGCGAGATCAGAGAGCGAGACCAGAGAGCGAGACCAGAGAGCGAGACCAGAGAGCGAGACCAGAGAGCGAGACCAGAGAGCGAGACCCACAGGTTCGTTTAAAATGAACCCTGAATGTGGCTCGGAGCCGGTGACGTGAGGCCAGCTCAGGGGTGATGTGTTCTCTCTCATACATGTGTGTTCTCAGGGGTGATGTGTTCTCTCTCATACATGTGTGTTCTCAGGGGTGATGTGTTCTCTCTCATACATGTGTGTTCTCAGGGGTGATGTGTTCTCTCTCATACATGTGTGTTCTCAGGGGTGATGTGTTCTCTCTCGTACATGTGTGTTTTCAGGGGTGATGTGTTCTCTCTCATACATGTGTGTTCTCAGGGGTGATGTGTTCTCTCTCATACATGTGTGTTCCAGAGTGTCTGCAGAGGGCTGTGGAAGGAAAAGCCGCCTCCGATGAAGATGAGGATCACAGAGACACGGCAGAGGAGAAAGGACGCCACCTGCTGGACACAAAGAGGCACTGCACCAGAACGCACAGCTGTGGGAAAGGGTCCGCTCAGAGTTGGTCAATAATTCTTCATTTCTTTCTTAAATATAACTGTTATTTTACTAATTTTTCAGATGTCCGGACAGAGCGCGACACAGAGGAACCAGTCTGAACCAGGACAACACCGAGGCCAAAGCACCAGACAAGGTACACACAGAAACACAAAGGTACACACAGAAATACAAAGGTACACACAGAAACACAAAGGTACACACAGAAACACAAAGGTACACACAGAAACACAAGGGTACACACAGAAACACAAAGGTACACACAGAAACACAAAGGTACACACAGAAATACAAAGGTACACACAGAAATACAAAGGTACACACAGAAACACAAAGGTACACACAGAAACACAAAGGTACACACAGAAACACAAAGGTACACACAGAAATACAAAGGTACACACAGAAACACAAAGGTACACACAGAAATACAAAGGTACACACAGAAACACAAAGGTACACACAGAAACACAAAGGTACACACAGAAACACAAAGGTACACACAGAAATACAAAGGTACACACAGAAATACAAAGGTACACACAGAAATACAAAGGTACACACAGAAATACAAAGGTACACACAGAAATACAAAGGTACACACAGAAACACAAAGGTACACACAGAAACACAAAGGTACACACAGAAATACAAAGGTACACACAGAAACACAAAGGTACACACAGAAACACAAAGGTACACACAGAAATACAAAGGTACACACAGAAACACAAAGGTACACACAGAAACACAAAGGTACACACAGAAATACAAAGGTACACACAGAAATACAAAGGTACACACAGAAACACAAAGGTACACACAGAAACACAAAGGTACACACAGAAACACAAAGGTACACACAGAAATACAAAGGTACACACAGAAACACAAAGGTACACACAGAAATACAAAGGTACACACAGAAACAAAAAGGTACACACAGAAACACAAAGGTACACACAGAAACACAAAGGTACACACAGAAATACAAAGGTACACACAGAAATACAAAGGTACACACAGAAACACAAAGGTAAACACAGAAACACAAAGGTACACACAGAAACACAAAGGTACACACAGAAACACAAAGGTACACACAGAAATACAAAGGTACACACAGAAATACAAAGGTACACACAGAAATACAAAGGTACACACAGAAATACAAAGGTACACACAGAAATACAAAGGTACACACAGAAACACAAAGGTACACACAGAAATACAAAGGTACACACAGAAACACAAAGGTACACACAGAAACACAAAGGTACACACAGAAATACAAAGGTACACACAGAAACACAAAGGTACACACAGAAATACAAAGGTACACACAGAAACACAAAGGTACACACAGAAATACAAAGGTACACACAGAAACACAAAGGTGCACACAGAAATACAAAGGTACACACAGAAACACAAAGGTACACACAGAAACACAAAGGTACACACAGAAATACAAAGGTACACACAGAAATACAAAGGTACACACAGTAACACAAAGGTACAAACAGAAACACAAAGGTACACACAGAAACACAAAGGTACACACAGTAACACAAAGGTACAAACAGAAACACAAAGGTACACACAGAAACACAAAGGTACACACAGAAATACAAAGGTACACACAGAAACACAAAGGTACACACAGAAATACAAAGGTACACACAGAAATACAAAGGTACACACAGAAACACAAAGGTACACACAGAAATACAAAGGTACACACAGAAACACAAAGGTACACACAGAAACACAAAGGTACACACAGAAACACAAAGGTACACACAGAAATACAAAGGTACACACAGAAACACAAAGGTACACACAGAAACACAAAGGTACACACAGAAATACAAAGGTACACACAGAAATACAAAGGTACACACAGAAACACAAAGGTACACACAGTAACACAAAGGTACAAACAGAAACACAAAGGTACACACAGAAACACAAAGGTACACACAGAAATACAAAGGTACACACAGAAACACAAAGGTACACACAGAAATACAAAGGTACACACAGAAACACAAAGGTACACACAGAAACACAAAGGTACACACAGAAATACAAAGGTACACACAGAAATACAAAGGTACACACAGAAACACAAAGGTACACACAGAAATACAAAGGTACACACAGAAACACAAAGGTACACAAAGAAATACATTGTGTAAGAATCTGTAAGGAATGACATTAGTTATAACACACAAGCAATCAGTGTTTACACATCGCAACACTTTTCTCAGACAGCTTTACAAAGTTGCGTGACCGTTTTGATAAGCTCACCTCCATCTACACTGTGGCCAACACCATTTCCACTAATCACATTCATACACGGTTACATGGGAGAAGTATTTGCAGCAGTGAGGCCCCAGTGCAGTGTCCAGGGGCCCGTGGTTGGCCCCTACAACAGAGGGCCCCTGTAGATCCTGAAGCTGAGTTCTCTGATGTGTTCCAGACTCCTCAGTCCGTGGATCGGTTGCAGAGAATGTCTTCACTGGAGGAGAAGCTCCGGGACGCACTCTCTCTTCTTTTACAGCTACGCAAAAAGGTAAGTCTTTATTTTAACAGTAGAACTCCCAGAGCTGTCTTTTTGACTGCTCCCAGTCTTGTCATGGTTTATTTCCTGTTTTATTTTGTATGTTGTTAAATCCCTGTGTCTTCTTTAGTGTTACTTCCTGTTGATTACCTGTGTCTCGTTAGTTTTGTTTTTAGCCCCGTGTGTTCCTTCACTCCCTGTTCCGTCACTGTCATCCCTCGTCTGTTTCAGTTCTTGTTCTCTGTAGTTTTTCTGGTTTTGGATTTGTTATATTTTTTATTAAATCCATCATTTTGCAGTTTTTGCCTTTTGGGTCTCTTTGTTTTTTGAACCACGTGACAAGTCTAGATCAATGGGATTCCGAGAAATTCCCCACAAAAATGTTCAGTTTTTCACCAGTTTTATTAAAATTATTAAGGTCCTTTACCTTAGTTGTGTTTAGTAAGTGCTAAAACTGGAGAAGATAAAACTGAGGTAAAGCAAAAACACTTTGAAAGTTTTAACACAAGCTGCCACAATGTAAACAATGTGTTTCTATGGTAACTGTGGTCACTTCTCGGGTGGAAAACCAAGCTGACTCGGCTCTGAACCAGTCCAGGACTGAACCAGTCCAGGACCAGCCATAAAATGTTTGTTACCAAGTGAATGAAAATGGATTTTGGTTTTGTTCCTCCGACTGTCAGACTGTACAACAGGTCTGTCTGAGTCAAAAATGAGCTCTATTGTTAGTTAGAAACATTCAGAACGTTTGGACGAATGTGTTTCTGTCGCATTTCTCCCAAAGGAGATAATAAAGGATCTATCTTTGTCCAAAACTAAAAGTCATTTTAAATTGACTGCTCAGTGTTAAACCTTCACGTTTCCTTTTCCAGAACGTGTCCAGTCGAGCCTTGGGGAGGATCGTCTTGGACACTTTAGATCTGTGCTGCAGGAGCGGGGACGGTAAAAACATCTCTCTTTTATTATGATTCTATGTTTACTTCCTGATAACGTTCTGTGTCTCTGCCTCAGGACCGCCTCAGGTTCTGCACGTGGCCGAGGCGCTGTGTGCGCGGCTCTCCACCTCTGAGCTCTTCACAGACAGAGAAGGAGACTCAGAGACGGAGAAGCGGCTCCCCCTAGTGGCCCGTCAGAGCAACAGCACCAGCTCTCTTCTCATCTCATGTTAACGTTAGAACTCCCAGAGCTGTCAGTGTGACGGCTTTTAGTTTTTTCATGTAAATGTTGTGTCATGAAATTATGTTTTATTTTGGAAATGTCCGAGTTGTACCTTTAACTAAAACTCAAATGTACCCATTTTTGGTTGGTAACTAAGTTTCTGCGGCAGTTAAGATCCCTTTTTAGCTGGTTCTGGACTGGATCTGAGCCGAGTCAGGTCGGTTTTCCACCAAAAGTGATTGTAGTTACTGTAGCAACATACTTTGTAGTTTTTAACATTTCAACAAACTATTTGCAGCATGGGATGAGAATCAGCACCTCCAAATCCGAGGCCATGGTGCTCGCCCGGAAAAAGGTGCCTTGCCCTCTGCAGGTGGGTGGAGAGGCCCTTCCTCAAGTGGAGGAGTTCAAGTATCTCCAGGTCTTGTTCACGAGTGAGGGAAGGATGGAGCGTGAGATTGACAGGCGGATCGGTGCAGCGTGCGCAGTGATGCGGTCGCTGTATCGGACCGTTGTGGTAAAGAGGGAGCAGCGTCTGCAGTCAGAGCTGTATCGGACCGTTGTGGTGAAGAGGGAGCAGCGTCTGCAGTCAGAGCTGTATCGGACCGTCGTGGTAAAGAGGGAGCAGCGTCTGCAGTCAGAGCTGTATCGGACCGTTGTGGTGAAGAGGGAGCAGCGTCTGCAGTCAGAGCTGTATCGGACCGTCGTGGTGAAGAGGGAGCAGCGTCTGCAGTCAGAGCTGTATCGGACCGTCGTGGTGAAGAGGGAGCAGCGTCTGCAGTCAGAGTTGTATCGGACCGTTGTGGTGAAGAGGGAGCAGCGTCTGCAGTCAGAGCTGTATCGGACCGTTGTGGTGAAGAGGGAGCAGCGTCTGCAGTCAGAGCTGTATTGGACCGTTGTGGTAAAGAGGGAGCAGCGTCTGCAGTCAGAACTGTATCGGACCGTTGTGGTAAAGAGGGAGCAGCGTCTGCAGTCAGAGCTGTATCGGACCGTTGTGGTGAAGAGGGAGCAGCGTCTGCAGTCAGAGCTGTATCGGACCGTTGTGGTAAAGAGGGAGCTGAGCCGAAAGGCAAAGCTCTCGATTTACCGGTCAATCTTCGTTCCCTCCCTCACCTCTGGTCATGAGCTTTGGGTAATGACCGAAAGAACGAGATCGCGGATACAAGCGGTCGAAATGAGCTTCCTCCGCAGAGTGGCTGCTCCCTTAGAGAGAGGGTGAGGAGCTCAGTCACACGGGAGGAGCTCGGAGTAGAGCCGCTGCTTCTCCACGTCGAGAGGAACCAGTTGAGGTGGCTCGGGCATCTGTTCCAGATGCCTCCTGGACGCCTCCCTGGGGAGGCCCCGCGGAAGACCTAGGACACAGAGGGACTATGTCTCTCAGCTGGCCTGGGAACGCCTTGGGGTCGGACGAGCTGGAGGAAGTGTGTGTGGATAGGGAAGTCTGGGCGTCTCTGCTTAGACTGCTGCCCCCGCGACCCGGCAACGGATGAAGCGGAAGAAAATGGATGGATATTTTTGCTGCACTTCAAGTAATATTTATAAAATTTTTTGCAAAGTGAAAGAAAACCACATTTTTTTTTTGATCTGGTGCAAAACTAAAGACGTTTCTCTTTATTCTATTGGTTTGAATGAGAGCAGTCAAAATGACGGCTCTGGGAGCTCTGTGTGTCCCAAAGTGGGGTCCGCGGACCCCTGGTGGGCCGCGAGGGTACTGCAGGGGGGCCGCGGGAGGTCATAAAAAAAATAAAAAAATAATATAATTATTTAATCTTGAATTTATAATGTTTTGTTTGTAATATTAAAATATTTGTGTTCATTATTTGACTTGAATAATCCACTGTAATCATTTTTGTATTACAATGTTTGTAGCAGAGGCTATTTCCCCAAAATAAAATAACCAGAAGAGCCTATTCTTAATGTTGTCTTCTTGGTTATTATTTTGGGGGGGCCACGCAGACCCGACAGATTTTTAAGGGGGCCTCGGTGTTACTGAGTTTGGGAATAGACTTAGACTATAGCCTTTATTTTAGACTATATTTGGCATTGTTTGTGTGTGCGTGGTTATGTGTGGGTGTGCGTGTGCGTGTGTGTATGTCTATCTGTCTGTGTGTGTCTTTCTATCTGTCTGTGTGTGTCTGTGTGTCTGTCTGTGTGTGTCTGTGTGTCTGTCTGTGTGTGTGTGTCTGTCTGTGTGTGTGTGTCTGTCTATCTGTCTGTGTGTGTCTGTCTATCTGTCTGTGTGTGTCTGTTTGTCTGTCTGTGTGTGTGTGTCTGTCTATCTGTCTGTGTGTGTCTGTCTATCTGTCTGTGTGTGTGTGTCTGTCTGTCTGTGTGTGTGTCTGTCTGTCTGTGTGTGTGTGTGTCTGTCTGTGTGTGTGTGCTGCCACTCACTCCCCACAGCACCAGTCCCTCGCTGATTCTCCGGCAGGTGGTCAGACATAACCTTTATGTTTCAGGCAAAGTTGGGTTAAGTGTCTTGCCCAGACATCAGTGGGAGCAGGTCTCGTCGTGGGATCGAACCCACAACCTTCAGGCCCAAAAGCCAATATCTACAAACCTTCTTATAAAAGGAGGATTTTCCCAAATTTTAGGAAAGAACGTAAATGATTGACACTTAGGACCAATATTTTATCCACCCGGAAGACCCTTTAAGACCACCCGGAAGATCCTTTAAGATCCTTTAAGACCCTTTAAGATTTCGTTAAGTTTTAAAACACACAGTAAGTTTTATGTGTGTGGCATCAAAGTCTTTTCAACAGAATTTACTTTGATGGAAATGAACAAATACAACTGGTTTCTTTTTTCGTCTAGTTTTAGTTGATATTCATAAAACAAACATATAGAACATTAATGCAATCTTACAAGTTTTCTCCACAACTTTCCATTTTATGAAATCACCGCAGAAATGTACAAATGTTTGTGTTTGAGGATCATCTGTTCCTTGACGTCCATGTTTTAAACCATTTTATACATAACTGTACAGATTTCTCCGCTTTGTGTATTTATTAAAATGTGTTTATTTGAGAACTTCCATTGTTTAGCATTCGTTTTATTGGTGAAAGTCAGAGACGCATGTTTTGGTAACGTACAAGTGAAAAATAAGTCAAAAATTGCTAAAATATGTCTTAATTTCAGCACTTTATGACTGTGCCTTAAAACAAAATTCATCAATGGGACAGGGCCAAATGATCATGTTTTAAATTGATACAAAAATGTCTCATTGGAATGAGAAAATTAAGCAACAATTTGTTAAATAAGTTTGTCCAAACCCAGAGGATCCACTGCAGGAAGCAGAGAAAATTATCCGAACCAAGCGGCTACTCCACCTTGTGACCCGTCCTGCTCCACCCAGAGGCTACTCCACCTCTGCTGCTCTGACCCGTCCCGCTCCACCCAGAGGCTACTCCACCTCTGCTGCTCTGACCCGTCCTGCTCCACCCAGAGGCTACTCCACCTCTGCTGCTCTGACCCGTCCCGCTCCACCCAGAGGCTACTCCACCTCTGCTGCTGTGACCCGTCCTGCTCCACCCAGAGGCTACTCCACCTCTGCTGCTCTGACCCGTCCTGCTCCACCCAGAGGCTACTCCACCTCTGCTGCTCTGACCCGTCCCGCTCCACCCAGAGGCTACTCCACCTCTGCTGCTCTGACCGGTCCTGCTCCACCCAGAGGCTACTCCACCTCTGCTGCTGTGACCCGTCCTGCTCCACCCAGAGGCTACTCCACCTCTGCTGCTCTGACCCGTCCTGCTCCACCCAGAGGCTACTCCACCTCTGCTGCTGTGACCCGTCCTGCTCCACCCAGAGGCTACTCCACCTCTGCTGCTGTGACCCGTCCTGCTCCACCCAGAGACAACTCCACCTCTGCTGCTGTGACCCGTCCTGCTCCACCCAGAGGCTACTCCACCTCTGCTGCTGTGACCCGTCCCGCTCCACCCAGAGGCTACTCCACCTCTGCTGCTGTGACCCGTCCTGCTCCACCCAGAGGCTACTCCACCTCTGCTGCTGTGACCCGTCCTGCTCCACCCAGAGGCTACTCCACCTCTGCTGCTCTGACCCGTCCTGCTCCACCCAGAGGCTACTCCACCTCTGCTGCTGTGACCCGTCCCGCTCCACCCAGAGGCTACTCCACCCCTGCAGCTGTGACCCGTCCTGCTCCACCCAGAGGCTGCTCCACCTCTGCAGCTGTGACCTGAAGGGCTGCTGCTGATTATTACTACTGTTAGCTTTTGAGAATGATCATTTTTATTTTCTATTTTTACTGCTACTGGACACCTGCATTTCTCCAACGGGGATCAATAAAGTATATATCTATCTATCTGGCTTTGTCCCCTGGACTGCCACCTTAACGTGGTGGGGGAGTTTGAGTACTCGGATGATCCTGGGAGCTATGTTGCCTGGGAGCTTTATTACCCTGGTAGGGTCTCCCATGGCAGACAGGTCTCAGCTGACGGGTCAGATGAAGCGCAGTCCAAAAACCACCATAGATTGCACTATATGAATACCGGTGACGTCGTCCGGCATGGCGCACGACCCTGGAGCCAGACCTGGGGTTGGGGCTCGAAAGCGAGCGCCTGGTGGCCGGGCTCAGCCCGAAGGGATGACATGGGCAGGCCCTCTTCCTCTTCCCTCTATGCGGATACCACCCACAGAGGGATCTGTGTCGGTCAGGTGCTGAGGGTGTAGCCGAGGTCTCCGCCTTCGGCTGCCGCCCAGTCCTCACACACATCTGGCTCTTGGGTCGTGGAACGTCACCTCGCTGGGGGGGAAGGAGCCCGAGCTCGTGGGGGAGGTTGAGCGATACCGCATGAGATAGTCGGCCTCACCTCCACACACAGCTTGGGCTCTGGAACCCAACTCCTTGAGAGGGGTTGGACGCTCCACTTCTCTGGTGTTTCTCGTGCGGAGAGGCGGCGAGCTGGGGTGGCCATTCTCATTGCCCCCCGTCTCTGCTTAGACTGCTGCCCCCGCGACCCGGCAACGGATGAAGCGGAAGAAAATGAATGGATGGAGGGCTTTGTCCCATTGGAGAATCTTGTTTTTACCAAAAACTGTACATATTAACGGACGTAGTCACGCCTATCTCCGCCGTTCTATCTAAAAACTAAAACGCATCTGCGCATGCGTCAGCTGCACGAGCTCCATTCATTTAAACGAGAGACTTCTAAAGTCCACAGCGACTAAACTAGACTGGTCCAGAACACTCCCTTCAGCATTGACACACATGTGGAACGGAGCTTTGGGCTAAGAACCGACTTTTGGACCAGCCTGTAAAGACGTTATCGAGAGGTCAGCTAATGCTATATGTTAGCATTGGCTAATTCTTATTCCAGGTCCACCCCCATCGGCCCGGGGTGGTACTGCAGCATGTCAGCGCACGTCATTTTGGACACTTTTGAGTCGGGACCCGCCCCCACTGTGTCAGATTAAGATAAAAACACTTGATTCAAGCAAATAGTACCTCATATTTTATCTGTTTTTGCAGTGTAGCTGACAAAGGCAAATATCAATCATTTAATTTGAGGCATCTATATCCTGTACCTAACACAGATACATTTGTCAACAGCAATATAAAATAATAGTTAAAAAAAAAGACAAAGGTGTTATACTGAAACAATAAAAAGCTTTATTTCCAGCAGTTTTCGGAGTCCTGCAGAAAGATCATTTGCAGTTGCAACAGGAGGCCACATGGTCATTGACATCAGTGAGTGAGCAGCAGGAAGCCTCATCAGTCTCAGCTCTGGGTCATCAGGCAGAAGTGCTATAACCTTTAAACTGCCCCAAAGTCTCTGCTCCGACAGAAACAAGCCCTTTTCTTACAGCTGTTTGATCGAGTCATTTACAACATTCAACATTACATCAGAATCAAAGGTCACCGATTAGTGGTCAGTGCTACGCTAACGCTGCGAGAGCCGCTCCAGGCTCAGGTTAAGGCCAAAGTTTGGACAGTTTGGTGCTAGTCATTAGCTTTACGCTAATCTATTACAGCAACTTCAAAGCCACTGGCCTTTATCGAGACCACTGAGAGTCCACAGACCACTGAGAGTCCACAGACCACTGAGAGTCCAGAGACCACTGAGAGTCCAGAGACCACTGAGAGTCCACAGACCACTGAGAGTCTAGAGACCACTGAGAGTCCAGAGACCACTGAGAGTCCAGAGACCACTGAGAGTCCAGAGACCACTGAGAGTCCACAGACCACTGAGAGTCCAGAGACCACTGAGAGTCCACAGACCACTGAGAGTCCAGAGACCACTGAGAGTCCAGAGACCACTGAGAGTCCACAGACCACTGAGAGTCCAGAGACCACTGAGAGTCTAGAGACCACTGAGAGTCCAGAGACCACTGAGAGTCCAGAGACCACTGAGAGTCCAGAGACCACTGAGAGTCCACAGACCACTGAGAGTCCAGAGACCACTGAGAGTCCAGAGACCACTGAGAGTCCACAGACCACTGAGAGTCCAGAGACCACTGAGAGTCCAGAGACCACTGAGAGTCCAGAGACCACTGAGAGTCCACAGACTACTGAGAGTCCAGAGACCACTGAGAGTCCAGAGACCACTGAGAGTCTAGAGACCACTGAGAGTCCAGAGACCACTGAGAGTCCACAGACCACTGAGAGTCCACAGACCACTGAGAGTCCAGAGACCACTGAGAGTCCAGAGACCACTGAGAGTCCACAGACTACTGAGAGTCCAGAGACCACTGAGAGTCCAGAGACCACTGAGAGTCCACAGACCACTGAGAGTCCAGAGACCACTGAGAGTCCAGAGACATCTGTGTATTCTCTATATTAACTGTATTTAGATCTGACTGTTCAAACTGTTGATATCTGAGTCTAAACAGGAGAGGACTCGGCAGCGCCCTCTACTGTCCGCTTTAAATAGTACAGTACATTCTGTATCTCAGTTTGACCCCCCCTCCCCCATTATAATTAAAACATAATTAGAAAGATTAGGCAAAAAGGAAAGAATTAAGTAACGGAATAGAAAATCATTATTTGACACTATGTGATTTTAGGAAACATTTTCAAGTTTTGCACATTGCTCCTGCACATGCGTGTGCTGGCCCCGTGGAAACAGGAAGTATTTATAACCATGCATCACATGCAGAGTTCTCCTTTGGGCCTTGGGGCCGACACCTGTACTCGGTACAGTCTGGGGCTGAAACATTCTCTCACTGTCGTTAAGAAGTTTGTCTCTCTCTCCATCCATTCAACCAAACACATGGACCTTATGTAGTATCACAGGTACACGGGACAATTGCATAGGGATAAAGAGGCTCCTGTGGTGTTTGAACGCAGTGGGAGTGGTTACCATGGAGACGCTGTCCTCAGCTGCTGCAAAACACGCTTCATCCACATGTTTATGTTTAATCAAGGATAAACTATAGTATTATTCTACTTTTAGATGTGTGTAGTGATCATGTGGAAGAGGAACAAAAGGACAGTTTGGTTTTACAGAAATGACAGAATTAGGAACATCTTCCAAATCTCATTAGGAAATCAAGAAGACTCTACCAACACGTTCTCGTCCCAACTGAACTCAACTCCATCAGAGCTGGATCTTAGGCATTCACTTAGAAATCGCACTTTGTGATTAAGAATTCCAGGTCTATGTGTTATTATCGAAAGACTTGAACTATTGTCTCCATTGAAAAATAATGAAGATTTGCCCAAAAATATAATCAAGATCCTATATGTACAAATAAAAGACACAAACCAGAAAGTCTGTGAGCTGGACCCAGAGAGCCTTCTCCAGTGATTAGTGCAGTCAAATGCCCTGAAATCTCTGCCCCCCCGAAGGAAGCCTCACAGACGCACACTCCCACCGCACCAGTCCAAGAATAGCCCTTTTCTGACGAGGTCCAAACACCGGCTTCTCTTCTCGCATCTCAGGTGTTATTAGTGCGATCCGTGCATCAGTTCCCAACGTTGCTATCCTTGTCTCCGAGGAAGAAGCGCACGTGGAAGCAAAGCGCCAAGAAGCCGGTCCCCAGGAGGTCCCCCAGAGCCGTGAGGTACGGAATGGAGAAGTTGTCGGGGTCCATCCCACGGCCCCACATCCAGTGCACCATCCAGTCGGCCAGGTACAGCAGGATGATCACCTGCAACACACCATATTTAATCATTTACTTTTTATATTTCAATTCAATGCAGTTCAATTTATTCTTGTACAGCCTTAAATCACAACAGTAGTTATCTCAGAGGACTTAAAGCAGCAGTATGTCAAAATCTGGCCAAAAGTGGTATTGCAGCCTTGCCCTCTCTTTGTGAATTTAGACATTCAAATATCTCTGAACTACAGTTATCAGTAAGAGAAGTATTGGAAAGGGCAGGTTTTATTATGATGATGGGAGGTGGGCTCACGGGTAGAGGAGTGTGTCACATGAGCTGAGATCACCTCCATGCACAAAAGGGCTATAATTTGACCAGTTTTGAGTGTTGTATGGTGTATCGCCCAAATTATTATCACACATGTGCATAGGATGGGCACCTTTAATGATGACTGGACATGAAAACCCTACATGTCGCTACTTTAACAACATTTTTGGAATTGCCAACACTGACCAAAGAATAAAACAGTTCAAACTCAAAGAATATAGAACACATGGTATTGGTCCATATGTGTTGATAAATGTCATAAATGTTGTATGTGTCCTGGATCATCACAGTCCTTGTTAGACACTAAACAGGCTTTCAGACCGGATCATGAGTCACATCGACTTTCAATGCAAAGTCAATGGTGACGCGTGTTCGAGCGTCGAAATGCATGTGCGTCTCGGAATGCACACACGGACTGTTCTGTAGAGACGCACGGACTGCTCTGTAGAGACGCACGGACTGCTCTGTAGAGACGCACGGACTGCTCAGTAGAGACGCACGGACTGCTCTGTAGAGACGCACGGACTGCTCTGTAGAGACGAAACGGACTGCTCTGTAGAGACGCACGGACTGTTCTGTAGAGACGCACGGACTGTTCTGTAGAGACGCACGGACTGCTCTGTAGAGACGCACGGACTGCTCTGTAGAGACGCACGGACTGCTCAGTAGAGACGCACGGACTGTTCTGTAGAGACGCACGGACTGTTCTGTAGAGACGCACGGACTGTTCTGTAGAGACGCACGGACTGTTCTGTAGAGACGCACGGACTGCTCTGTAGAGACGCACGGACTGCTCAGTAGAGACGCACGGACTGCTCTGTAGAGACGCACGGACTGCTCTGTAGAGACGCACGGACTGTTCTGTAGAGACGCACGGACTGTTCTGTAGAGACGCACAAACTGTTCTGTAGAGACGCACGGACTGTTCTGTAGAGACGCACGGACTGTTCTGTAGAGACGCACGGACTGTTCTGTAGAGACGCACGGACTGTTCTGTAGAGACGCACGGACTGTTCTGTAGAGACGCACGGACTGCTCTGTAGAGAGACGCACGGACTGTTCTGTAGAGACGCACGGACTGTTCTGTAGAGACGCACGGACTGTTCTGTAGAGACGCACGGACTGTTCTGTAGAGACGCACGGACTGTTCTGTAGAGACGCACGGACTGTTCTGTAGAGACGCGGACTGTTCTGTAGAGACGCACGGACTGTTCTGTAGAGACGCACGGACTGAACCGGACTGTCTGTAGAGACACACGGACTGTTCTGTAGAGACGCACGGACTGTTCTGTAGAGACGCACGGACTGTTCTGTAGAGACGCACGGACTGTTCTGTAGAGACGCACGGACTGTTCTGTAGAGACGCACGGACTGTTCTGTAGAGACGCACGGACTGCTCAGTAGAGACGCACGGACTGCTCTGTAGAGACGCACGGACTGTTCTGTAGAGACGCACGGACTGCTCTGTAGAGACGCACGGACTGCTCAGTAGAGACGCACGGACTGCTCTGTAGAGACGCACGGACTGCTCAGTAGAGACGCACGGACTGCTCTATAGAGACGCACGGACTGCTCTGTAGAGACGCACGGACTGCTCTGTAGAGACGCACGGACTGCTCTGTAGAGACGCACGGACTGCTCTGTAGAGACGCACGGACTGCTCTGTAGAGACACACGCAGGAGCGGAAAATCAACGCACGCAGGCGATAAACATTGCTGAGCGTTTCCTCGGACGTTCGTGCAGCGACCAATCAGAGAGCCGCAAAGTGGTCACAGGGACATTAGTGTCTGAGCGAGCAGACTGAACATACTGTAAACAGCCAAAACAGGAGCTACACCAGGACTAAACCAGGGTTGACAATGGGGGACATAGTTCTTGTGAACATACGTGTTGTTCACAACTGTGACTTTATGCAGTGTGTTCGCCGATGCGGAAATACTGTTTAATAATTAAAAAAACGTATTGCGCACCTCCGTGAACACATACTGCTGTTATATAAAGTCACCGTGAACACATACTGCTGTTATATAAAGTCACAGTGAACACATACTGCTGTTATATAAAGTCACCTCCGTGAACACATACTGCTGTTATATAAAGTCACCGTGAACACATACTGCTGTTATATAAAGTCACCTCCGTGAACACATACTGCTGTTATATAAAGTCACCTCCGTGAACACATACTGCTGTTATATAAAGTCACCTCCGTGAACACATACTGCTGTTATATAAAGTCACCTCCGTGAACACATACTGCTGTTATATAAAGTCACCTCCGTGAACACATACTGCTGTTATATAAAGTCACCGTGAACACATACTGCTGTTATATAAAGTCACCTCCGTGAGAACATACTACTGTTGTATAAAGTCACCGTGAACACATACTGCTGTTATATAAAGTCACCTCCGTGAACACATACTGCTGTTATATAAAGTCACCGTGAACACATACTGCTGTTATATAAAGTCACCTCGGTGAGCACATACTACTGTTGTATAAAGTCACCGTGAACACATACTGCTGTTATATAAAGTCTCAGACACAGAGACGCTGCAGAGCTGCATTATTGGAGAAGAACTTTACACAAAACACCGCTAGCTTAAATCCGTTAGCATCAAAGCCCGCCGGCTACTTCCGCCACTTCCGGCGGGCGCCACCGCAGCAGGACTTCTGGTGTGCGTCTGAAAACTAGAGAATGTGCGTCTGGTGGGCGAGGCTTCAGCGTTCCAGCGTTGGCGGTGTGGAAGCAGCTTTACTTTTATGTGAAACTGCCAACGAGTGTGAAGTGGAGATGGATCATTCATATAAATTGTCTTATGACCAAATTGCTGCAAAGATAGCTGTAAGTGACATCAATCATCAAATCATTTGCA